TTTTAAATCTTCCACCAGTCCAATGAACAGACAACTTAAATTTTAATTTCAACCCCTGATATTAAGCACAAATTGAACTTCCAATCATGCATTGCTCAACAGATAATAGCAATTTTTTAGAGAAGAAAAAAGGCAGCATGACAGTGAGATCAGTCATTTGGAGACAAATCTACTTAGCATTGCAAGAGCAATGGAATTTGAATCAGAAAGAAGAAAACAGATCAAGCACTGCAAAGCATCTAGAGTAACCAGATAATCACCAGAGTATCGAAATTTCATTTTCAGTTAATCTTTTATTTCAACAGCTATGAAATTCTGTATTGCTTAAGTTCTGTACACTGTAGACAGCCCAATGATGTCTATAAAGGCTCAACTAGTATGCAGCTATGAATAATTCTCTTATTCAGACTAAATATTGAAATATTTGTGACCATTGTTAACTTTTTAGTGTTCACCTTCAAACTACACTAAAATACTTTATTTTCGCTAAAGCGGTGATTCAGTGAAAATAAAATCTAGCGATTATATCTTTTTCCTATATTTTACATTCAACTCATCAAAAATCAGTAAACATGAACTCCATACAAAACACCCAAAGACTTTTCAGCGAAAATTAATTCCAGCTAAAATAAAGTATTTTACAGTTTAACATATTGCCAGTTTAGGGAAATTCCATCATTTGCCAAGTATTCAGGATTACATATGCATTGTCCTTTTGAATTTTAATTTGATAACAAGCTTTACTTCACAGCTGTCAACATAAAACTATACCTGTTGCTGTTGACATAATGGAACTTTTCTAATTTGAAGAAACAATTACAGATAATTAAATCTTAAGCTATTAATTTTTTTAACAATGATCTTTCTTCGAAATTGAAGTATTCACAAATAAAGCACAAAAAGTGAATATCCCCCCTTTTTTTCTGTGATTTTGTGACAGTGAGAGACTAACAGTTCTGAATAAAAAAATGTAAGAAAATCAGTTTTTCTATGCAGGTTTAACTGAAATTTGACCAACAGTAAGGCTTTTGTATTTGTATAATCAATGCTTACTTGGTATAATATTTGATGTACAAGGTGAAGAAAAGAGCACTACTTGGAGACTTGTCTGGATTATTTATGAAAAATATAAAGAAACTTGCCTTACAATGCATTAATTTGTAAGATAAGCACTGACAAATGTCAATTATAATGAGCAGACACTTTTTATCAAACCTGTGTAATATTATGTACCATATACATTGAATATACTAGAATTGGGTACTGCATGTTTAATAATTTAATATCAAGTCTGAAATCTATTCATGTGCACTGCTTTGTTTTCTTTTACAGAAACATGCTCTGTTGACAATAGCTTATTGTTGCTGAAAATTACACATGGGTGCCAAACATCCAAACTGTTCTCATTTCCAAACTGGCCTAAGCAATGACTGATTATTACACACACAGTCATAATATTTTCCAATCTCCAAGAATATGAAGTCTGCAATAAAATTTAATGTGCTAGCCAGACATAGTCAGTTGTAGCCCATAAAAGGAACATTGCTCACCAGCCTGTTGCAGGTTAACATTATTTAGTCTGTGTAGGAAAAATGATTTAAATAAAAAATGCAGGCAATCTATAACATTGTTAAAACTGTATTAGGTAGTCTTAGATACGAGTTGTTTTTGATGTGGTGACCTAAACATTTAGCAACTCCTATATCATGTTCTATTCAGAACTACTACTCATACTATAGGTGTTGACACTTATTACGGTTGACTGCCAATGGAAGGCATGTCATACAATTACAGGGTACACATAACAATGCTTGCGTTCATATAAAATTAGCGACTTATTTAATTTATTTAGGTCTTTCCCAATTTATCTTCATGAAGATAT